TCTGGTAGTGGGAGGCGGGGGGGGGGGCTTGCAGGGGGGTATTGGGGGAGTCTGCAGATGCAGCTGCTGCAGGGGTGGGGTGGTGCCCTCCGTGCATGGCCACGGTCAGGCCACTGGGGCTGAGAGAGCCAGAGCTGCTCCCAGGAAGCATTTGGCTGGGGCTGGAGGGAAGACCTGAGCTCTGTTCCTGGAACCCACATCGGGTAGCTCACGACTGCCTGTGACTCCAGTGACAGAGGTTCTGCCGCCCTCTTCTGGCCTCTGGGGACACTTGCAGTCAGATGCACAGGCACACACAAATAAAACTAAAGGATACATAAATCTTGGGCTGGAGACTCAACTGGTGCACTTGCTGCTCCTACAGAGTTGGGTTCCCGGCACCCCCTTGTGGTGGCCCCACCTTTGACCTCCAGGCCATAGACACATGTAGTATCCACTCACAGACACATAAATAAAAATAAGTCTCTTAAAAAATATCTTGCTGAACACCTTTAATCCCCAGCTCTTGGGAAGCAGCAAGCAGATCTCTATGAGTTCAAAGCTAGCCAAGGCTACATAGAAAGACTCTGTCTCAAAACAAAAGTTTCAGGGAAAAAAATCGTTAAAAAAAAGTTAAAAGCTAGGTAGTAGCAGCACAGACCTTTAATCACAGCTCTCGGGAGACAGAGGTAGGTGGGTGAATCTCTGTGTGGTTGAGGCTAGCCTGATCTACACAGTGAGTTCCAGGACAGCCAGAGCTACTTAGAGAAACCCTGTTTCGAACAACTAAAACAAACAAAAATACAAGTTAAAGGTCTGGAGACACCGCTCAGCAGCAAAGCACCGAGATTCCCAACACCTGCTTGGTAGTTCACAGACACCCTGACTTCAGCTGCAGGGAATCCACAGACACCCCTTCTTCAGCTCCAGGGAATCCACAGACACCCCGACTTCAGCTCCAGGGAATCCACAGACACCCCGACTTCAGCTCCAGGGAATCCACAGACACCACTACTTCAGCTGCAGGGAATCCAATGCTCTCTTCTGGCCTCCGAGAACACCAGGGACACACATGGCACAAACACATTCATGCAGGCAAAACACACACACATGGAAAATAGATAAATGCAATTTTAACAAAAGGCGAGGGGATGCTTCTGCTTCCTGGCTGGGATGCGCCTAGCGTCCTGGCCTCTGAAAGGGATGGGAACCCTGTGGCCCTCTCCTGCACAGCTACACCCACGTCTACCGAGAACTGGAGCAGGCTATCAGGGGCGCCGATGCCCAGGAGGACCTCAGGTGGTTCCGCAGCACCAGTGGCCCTGGAATGCCCATGAACTGGCCTCAGTTCGAGGTGAGAGTGGGCAGCGTGGCAAAGCGGGGATCCTTAGCAGGTTAGGAGGGTCCTGACAGCTCAGACCTCTTGGCTTGACTTCTCTCTACCCCCAGGAGTGGAACCCAGACCTCCCCCACACCACTGCCAAGAAGGAGAAGCCGCCTAAGAAGGCAGAGGGGGCCACACTGAGCAATGCCACAGGGGCTGTAGAGTCCACATCCCAGGCTGGGGACCGCGGCAGGTGAGTACCTTCCATGGAGCTCCTGGGTAGGAGGGAGACCAACATACTGGGACAGATATATTTTATCCAAGAAGACAAGAAATTACCCCAGACCATAGCTGCCATGTGTCCACTGAGAAGCAGATGGGTGACCCTTCAAGACTGCTGTGAGGTACACAGTAATCTAGGCTCCCACATTAATGGATTCAAGCCTCTGACCAGCCTGGGAAGGTGTAAATGTGTGCATTTTGCTGGGCGGTGGTGGCACACGCCTTGAGTCCCAGCACTTGAGGGGCAGAGGCAGGTGGATCTCTGTGAGTTCGAAGCCAGCCTGGTATACAGAGCAAGTTCCAGGGCAGGCTCCAAAGCTACAGAGAAATCCTGTCTTGAGCGATGAGGTAACATGTCCAAGAGAAGGTTCTCTACTCCAGATCTTAGCTGGTATCCATTTAGGGATGGTGCCTCTTTCACAGGGTCACAGGGTCAGACAGTCTCGAGGCCCTCTGCAGCACTTCCTCCCTCAGGAGCTGAAATACTAGCACACAAGGTTCAAGTTGTCAGAGGGTCACTGGCTCTGACCCCGCCCCGTGCATCCAGTCTCTGCCCCAGCCTCGGTAGAATTTGGACCCAAGCTCTGGTTAGGAGAGAGTATTGATAGGATGGGGTCAAGGCCGCTGATCGGGACCTCCATTTGCACCCTAGTGTTAGCAGCTATGACCGAGGCCAACCGTACGCCGCCGAGTGGTCAGACGATGAGAGCGGGAACCCCTTCGGGGGCAATGAGGCCAATGGTGGCGCCAACCCCTTCGAGGATGACGCCAAAGGAGTACGTGTGCGGGCGCTCTACGACTACGATGGCCAGGAACAGGACGAACTCAGCTTCAAGGCGGGTAAGCGGGCAGGGCTGAGGGGGCGGGGCTGGCGGAGAAGACTGGGCTTGGATTGGGCAGTGCAAGGCTTGGAGACAGGTGTTTCAAGGGTTGGCAGGTAAGGGGGCCAGGGCAGAGGTTTAGGTATGGAGGGATGGGGCCGAGACTCGGGTGCTGGCCGAAGTGGGTCCGGGGCAGCACTTGGTTTTCGAGTGAGGTGTAGCCCCTAATTGGAGTCCAGGTAATTCAGTTGGAGTGCCCTGGAGGGTTCATTTAACAGTTTTGGGCTAAGGGACAGTTCGGACTGAGTGCCTGTCCATCATAACAAGGCGCCCCCCGTGTACCCCTCCCCAGGAGACGAGCTCACCAAGCTGGGAGAAGAAGATGAGCAGGGCTGGTGCCGCGGGCGGCTTGACAGCGGGCAGCTGGGCCTCTATCCTGCCAACTACGTTGAGGCCATCTAGCTACCCTGCCCATCCAAGTCCTCTCGCTCCTTGTCCACCGCTCCCACCCTCTCCCTCCCCTCGCCATAGAGTTCCAGACATATTTTCCGATCAAGCTTTTATTTTTTTAAAAGTCAAAACAGAACAAAAGAAATACAGAGACAGCATTTGTGGCCTACCTTCATGGAGGCCAGGGTGGTGGGGCTTAGGACAACGGCCCCAGCGTGGACAAGGGATTTAGCCCAATATCACATCTGCTCTAGAGTCCACCAAAGAGTCTCCTGAGCCCTGAGGGATACCTTCTGGATCCTTCTACCCTGCTTTGCTCCCCTGCCCCACCTCAGGCTGCCAGCAGCTGCCCTTGTCACCTGAGCCTGGCTTCTTCACCTCTTCCTCCCTCCCCCATTCCCTCTCCTCACTTCTACCACTACCCCCCTCTTTTTTATTTGTTCATTTATTTTTTTGGTTTTTGGTTTTTTTCAAGGCAGGGTTTCTCCGTGTAGCCCTGGCTGTCCTGGAACTCACTTTGTAGACCAGGCTGACCTCGAACTCACAGAGATCCACCTGCCTCTGCCTCCCGAGTTATGGGAGTAAAGGTGTGCGCCACCACCGCTCAGCTTACTACCCTCCTGCACATCCCAAGAAGGAGGCCCCCCAATCTGTAGTCTTCCACTCTGCCCTGGGGGTGCTGTTCTCCCAGTCCTGATCTGTTGGTCACCCTTCTCTGTGGAGCTTCCAGGGCTCTCCAGAGCTAGAGGAAGTGATGGTGTCCCTGGCACACGGGAGAGTGAGGGAAGAGCAGAACCTATCCAGGCTGTGCCAACCTCCCAGTGCCAGACCCATTTTGAGGGATGAAAACCTTGTCTGGGCCTGTGGTCAGAGGATCCCCAGAGCCACTCTGCAGCTAGCAGAGGCCCTGCCTCTCCTGAGGCCTTGACACTGGGCAAAGCCCCCCTCACCCAAGCCCAGGGCAAAGCCAGCAACAGTAGCAGCCTTCTCTCGTTCCCTGGGGAAAAGGCATTGGGCATCCGTCCCCCGTCCTTCATGGCCATCCAGAAATGTCCCACCCTTCTCTGTGTCAGCATCGGCCATTGTGAAGCCAGTACACAAGGCTCTCAACCTCCCTTTTCTTGCTTCTGTCACCTGGCCAACCTGGGAGACACGGGTTCAGGGGAGCATCCAGGTCCCCTCTAGACTGGGGAGACACGGGCTCAGGGGAGCATCCAGGTCCCCTCTCAACTGGGGAGACCCGTGGGCTCAGGGGAGCATCCAGCCTGGCCCTGGACAGGGAAGCCAGCAGTCCAGGCTGGCATGAGAAAGGAGCTCTGGATGGTCACCGTATCTTTCTGTCCCTTTTGGTTTTCCAACATTACCCCCTGAATGCTGGCAGCCACCTCCCCCAATTTCTCTAAGCCTGAGTCTTCATTAAAGGACTCTGGGTGGTGGGAAGGGACACAGGGCCTTGTGGGTGGAAAGTGGGCGGCAGCTCTCCTTTGGGTGGCATGGGAAGCAGACACCCCAGAGGGGAGAATGGGCAGTCTGTTTATCCGAAACTTTGGGAACAAGGACCTGAGGAGTCCCATGCTCACAGCCAGTATCTACTAGGCCTTTGAGCCACTGACACCCTCTGCCTCCCGGATCAGGTGGCTTTGGGGCCTCCAGGGAAAGAGCATGCATCCCTATGTTCTCTAGGACCCTTTAGCTACTTCTGACACTGTCTGGTCTCGGACCCAGGCATCGGGGCTCTGACCCTCTTCTCGTGGTTAGGGCAGTGGCAGGGGCCTGTGGGGGTCAGTCCTTCCTCAGGACCATGAGCGTGGCATCCTAGGGCTGCCAGCATCCTCTCCTTTGTTACCGTTTGCCCTAGGGACTTCTGCTTCAGCCAAGGTTGGATGCTGGGCCCCTCAGGACCTGAAGCAGGATTCGGAACCTTCCTTTTTCCATAGCTCTTCCTGCCTCCCTGGCTGGCAGGAATCCTCCACCCAAGAAAGGCAAGAAGCCGCCATGTCTGCACCTTGGGGCCTGGGCTCCCCCTCTGCGCTAGCGGCTTCCCAGCATCTGGAGAGGGGCTGTGGCCCTGACTAGACCCCAGGCCTGCCCCCCTCAGCACACTAGCTGCCCAGTCGTGGGCAGGAACTGGAAAATCTCCCTCTCTCCCTTATGAACAACCACCTTCAACAACCCCATCTGTGACCAGACTTGGTCCTCAAGCTCCTCAGCACCCGAGTGCTGGAGGGTCCCTGGAAGTCCCTAGAGCCCTGAGCCTGGCCCCACCTGTCATGACTGGTGTCGGGGCACACATACCCTCGCTGTGTCCACACCCCTCCTGTACTCCCCAAGGGCCCCATTGATGCTGCACGGGACCCTGCAGGGCTCGGTCAGTGATGTGTTTTGTCCCCAGTTAAACCACCATCCTGCAGCCTGGTTCCAGGGAGGAGCCGAGGCTGACCCACCGCCGCCGCCACTGCGTCTGCCGCCCTAGGCTTCCTGACTCCATTAGTTCCGACACTTGTGAAACTCCGAGAAGTGCTGTGGTCTCAGCAATGTTTTGTACATGATTGTGTAATTTAAAGGTATATAAATACAAATATATATATATATCAGTTGTGACTGTATGACTGTGGATAAAACCAGAATTCTATCACCCTGCCTTGTCTTCTGAGTCTCTGTGATGATGATGTCTGTCCTGGGGGAGGTGGCCCTGTGCAAGGCTAAGTGCCGGGCAGCTGAGGGTCTAGGGAGGTCACTGAGGCTCTGGCCTCAGATACGAGGTGAAGGGTGACAACACTGACCAGTAGACCTGGGCATTTAAAGTCCCAAACTCATGGCTCTAAGGTTGGAGGTATGGCCCGTTGGTTCTTGTCTATCGTGTGAGGTGGTTTCCGTAAATAACTAGCCGATTCATGGTTCAAGGAACTCGATCTTCAAACAGTCTTGGGTTTTGAAACAGAATTCTCAACAGAACTGACTGGGGCCTCCCGCGGAGCGACACCGGGTCTCCTTGCCCTCCTGCTGCCTGCCTCCTGTTGTGTAGGAGGCCTCCTGGGGGCATCCGCCCTGGCAGGACTAGAGCTCGGCCCTCCCCTCTGGGAGCCATCCTAGAGCTCTGATGCCTGCTTGCATCTCAGCGGGGTCTTTCCTGAGACCCACGCCTTCCCCTGCTTCAGCTCCCCCAGTCTGTGGGTAGGAATCAAGAGGCCCTTCTGACCCTGGTGGTCTAACAGAGCCTCACACAAACATAACCCTTGCACCAGCACCCCCACTCCAGGGTGCCCACAGCACTCCCAACCCAGGGTGCCCACATCAACCCTCCCCAGGGTGCCCACATCAACCCTCCCCAGGGTGCCCACGGCACTCCCCCCTCCCCAGGGTGCCCACAGCACCCCACCCCAGGGTGTTCATGTCACTCTTCCCACCCCAGATCTGTGGAGGGTAGGGGGACAACCTTGAGCTCCCTGGCATGACCCTTTCCCAGCTGAGCCGTCTCACCAGCCCTTCTTCCTTCCCCTTCTCCTTTTCCTTCTCCCTCCTTCCCTCCCCCCCTTTCCTTTCTCCATATTCCTCCCCTTTATTCGTTCCTTTCCTTCTTTCACTAAAACTAGAGTCTCACCAGGGCTGAGAGTTTGCTCAGCAGTTATGAGCACTGGCTGCTCTAGCAGAGGACCCAGGTTCGATCCCCAGAACCCACATGGCAGCTCACAACCTTCTGTGATTCCAGTTCTGGGGGATCCTACACCTTCTCCCAACCTCCGAAGGCACTGCATGAATGTGGTGTACAGACATCCAGGCAATGTGTGTACAGGCAAAACACCCGTATGCATAAGTAAATCTAGAATAAAACAGAATCTCACGTAGCTGGTCTCTAACTGGTTGTGCAGCCGAGGCTGATCTTTAACTTCTGCCTCCTATTCCCAAATGCTAGCTAGCACTGCAGGCTCAGGCCTCCATGCCCAGCCCAGGAATCAGAGTGGTGGCCTCTTAACTCACACACACACGATATTCCAGTTTGTTTGGGGCAGGGGGAACTGGAATGAGACTTCCAAAAAGGGGTCAGGAAATGTCTTGCCCAGGTGAGGTCCTAATAGGGCCATGCCAACAGAGGGAGGCGAATCCATGGTTTGCTGCCAGCTCAGGAGGTGTCACTGGGTAGCTGCAGTCTTCTGGATATTCCTTATGGAAGCTGCCCCTCTGATCTCCTTTAGGTGGAGCTGTTCCTGCTCCCCACCCCCCTGCCCATTTGAGAAACCCCCAGCCCTGCCTGAGCTTTGTGCCTGGCCAGGCACGGCTAGGGACATCCTGTGTGACTTCAGGGACTCCTGAGGAGTAGGATGGGTTTGCTGGAGACAAAACCAGTTTAACAGAGCATTGAGCCTGCCTCTGGCCAGGGTCCCAGTCCGCCTCTTCCCTGGGGAAAGGAGACAGCTGGGGCCTAGCAAGGCAGAGACCTGGGCAGAGTCCTCCCCTCCTGTCAAGTCCAACCCCGAGTGACAGATGCCAAGTCACTGTTTGCCCGCTGTCAGGGGTAAACATTCTTCAGGAGACAATAAAATCCTGGGGGCAAAAGGCAGGCTGCAGGATGCCTTTAACCCTTGGTGGTCCAGCCTGGCATGGTGGCACACACCTTTAATTCCAGCACTCAGAGGGCAGAGGCAGGAGGATCTTGAGTTTGAGGCCAGTTTGGTCTATGGAGTAAGTTCCAGGACAACCAAGGCTACACAGAAAAACCCCGTCTCTGTGTAACAAAAATCAAACAGAAACAAAAACCCCCAAACCCCTGGTGTTCCAGGTAGTGTTGGCACCCTGACCCTTCTCATAGAAGACTGGCCTCAGAAGCTATGGTCTGTGGGGCTAGGTGCTGACCCCTTTGACAAGGGAGGCATGGAGTGAGCTCACCTTCTGGCCCTGACATCCACAGCCGTGTTACTGTGAGCTAATTGCTCAGGCATGCCGGACCTCTGGTCCACCGTGTATAGAGCGAGAAATGACCCTGGCTTCAGGGTGGTTTTGTTGAGGACGCCAATGACAAAAGGCAGTAGGAGTGGCTGGCGCACAGTAGGGATGCTTGATTTGGGCAAATAAACCAGGGAAGTGTGGTACCCTGGCTGCTGAGGAGAATGAGCAGGCTGGCTGGGGTTTCCACACGCAGGCAGATGCATGTGTGGCCATACTCGGGTGGCTCTCACACCCACAAAAGGGACTCACAACCCCACGGATGCATCTTGGGGAGTCTTTGGGGGACAGAGACTGCAAACCCTCCATCCTTACAAAGCTACTGTCCCATAAACATACTGAATCACCCACCGACTCCCATAGTCCGCCATGTGGTTCAGCTTCCTTAGGTGGTTGAGAAAACATAATAGCTCTGGGCCTCTTGCAGGAGAGCCAGACCCCTGGCACACCTGGGCACACCTGGAGGCAAAGCCCTGCTCTTCGACAGAGTAAGTGCAGAGGCTGCCTTCCTTACCTGGGGCCTGTGTGTGGAGACGCTCTTCAGCCTGGCCTAGGGTGAGGAGGGCACAGTGGCTGGCTAGATTAGCTGCTTTGGCCTGGAGAATGTTCTGCCTCTTCTACGATGTCTACCAAACAGCTACCATTTTTCTCTTAGGCTCAGCTCCATGACACCTCCCTGGGCAAGCTTTCCTCGTAGTCTCCACCCTAAACACCTGTGACCACAGTCACCCTTGCCCGCTGCTGGCCTCTCGGCTGGGTTGTCCATAGCCAGACACTGGAGACCTGGCAGTTATCTTGTATCTTTATTAACCATTCCTAGGGCACTCCTGGATCCCTAACATAGGATGCAGACATCTCTTGGTACCACGCCAGTCATGGTACAGGATGGGTTGCAGGAGCAGGAAACAGTGACATCACCATCCTGTGAATTGCCTTGGTTGAATCATACAGTCCAAGCCTGGGGGTGGGGGTTCTCCACTTGGGAGCAGTCTTAGCTCCCTTGACCCTCCAGGGGCCCTTGTCCTTGAGCAGGGACTCAGAGAGCTCACGTGCATCCCTAGGACTGTCTCTCTGGGGCCTTGGATTCTGGGATGCCAGCAGCCCCTGGATTCAAATTGGGCTGAGCCCGGGCCAGGAGGAGAGTGACTGTCTGGAACAGGCGGTAGGCCTCTGGTCTCTGCAGCTCTCAGACGGGATGTACAAACTGGTAGACCAGGCGCTGAGAGATGTCAGGTTTGCGGATGATCCCCTTCTTGTAATACTGGCGGATGGAGCGACTTAGCTTATCGTAGTTCATGGCCGGCCGGTTCTTGCGCACACCCCACAGCCGGGCCACCTGGGCAGAGTCCTCAATTTTGAAGATGCCTGGGGGAAAGGAGGGTGGGAGGAGAGGAGGATGGGCATGTGGAGGCCATGAGAAGAAGAGAGATGAGATCAATGAGTCACTTTTGGGGAAAGGACAAGAGCCAGATGCTGGGGCCCTCTTCAGCCCTGGCCCCAGGGACAGGCCGTGGGACTTAGCAAATATCTTTCTTCTTTCCTTCCTTTCCTTCTTTTTGAGATAGGGTCTCTCTACATACCTTGGCTGTCCCTGAGTACTGGGATTAAAGGCAAATGCCATCATGCCTGGCATTAGCAAACTATATTTCAATAATTTTTACCTTGTTACTGGCTGAAATTCTAACTTATGCATAATATTAGATCAAATGCAGGTTGCATATCCCTAATCTGAAATTGGGGTCAGAATGACGTCAGAATTTGGAGTTTTAGGGTTTGGGAGTATTTGACAGGCTTTTCTGGCCAGACATCCGTGATGGTGTTCTGAAGAGTTTGCATTTGGGGAACATTTAGGAATTTTGTATTAAAGTTCAGGCAGAACAGAGCATTAAAGTGAAATTCACTTGATTTTAAACATTTCGATTCTGGACCTAGAACATTTAATATTATATATGGGGCTCACATTGTGTTTCTGATAGACACCATGAGTCTCTAGGTTGAAGCTATGATTTTTCTCGCTATTAATTTTTCACATTCATTTCTTTATTGTTCATATTGTATGAACGTGTGTCATGTGCCCCGGCGTGCCTGTGTGTGATCAGAAGACAATCGGCAGGAATCGTTCCCCTTTCCATCCTGTAGGGACCGAACTCAGGTCTTCAGGCGTGGTGCCTGCCCACACTGAGCTGTCTCACCGGCCCCCAAACGTGATGCTTTATAAAGATTTATTTTATTACTGCATGTGGTAAGTGCTTTGCTTGTGTGTCTGTAAGTTCATGCCTGGTGCCTGCAGAGGTTGGGGGCGGGGCCTTAAAGGCCTGTGCCACCATGCCCTACTGAAGCCATGTTTTCCCATTCTCGGCAAACGCTCTCAAGTTCGTACTGTGTTCCAGGCGCTGTGAGGTGAAGGAATCTTAGTGCCAGTGCCAGTCTGGTGGAGAGGCTGATGAGGGTACAAACAACACCCTAAACCTTAAAATCCTTGGAGTTGCAGGGGTACAGATCTCTGAGTGGCGCTTTTGGCACAGGGTGAAGGCGGAGTCAGTCTAGGTCACACCTCTCTCAGCTGGAGCCACGCCCCAACCCCACCTCAATCGCAGCTCCGCCCATGCTCTCCATCCCTGCCAGAACCCTGCGCCCACCTCTGCCTAGCAGAAGCCCCGCCCCAGCCCTGCTCATGCTCCCAGCTGGAGTTCCACTCCATAGGAACCCCGCCTTTCCCGCCCTCCTAAAGAAGCCACGTCCCTGACCCAGCCCCTCCCCCTCTCAGTACTCTGAGCCCCGCCCCCACAGGCATGCAGCTCCGCCCCACATAAGCCCCGCCCCTTCATCCCTTTCTGACCCCTCCCACTG